CAGCCCCCAGGGCCGGGCTCCCTGCTTCCAGTTCCCAGACGTGCGGGCAGACTGGGCCTTGGTGTGGAAATTCCCAATCCTGTAACCTTCCGGGAGCCAGGCAAGCACAGCAGGTCTCTGGGCCGAATCTCAGGCCAACAGTCCATGACTCGGTTCCAGTCGGTTTTAAGTAACAGGCGATGCATTGAGGCCAGCGCGTGTGTGAGTCTGGGACTCCCTTGTCCAGCTCGACTGCTGGGTAGGAGGGGACACCTCAATCTGGCCTGCTGGTTGCAAGGAAGAAAACCTCCTTGGGGACTGGGCCTGGCATCTTTAAAACAGGGCTCCGTGCCGACCAGAGGCCAGAGGAGGGCCCAGTGGACAGCAGGGCTCTGGGCCTCCAAGGCGGGGCTGGAGACCCCTCTGCTCTCCTGCTGGCCATGAGCCTCGACCACAGGGGCCAGGTGGGGTGGGGTGTGCGGCCCCTCGAGGCTGAACGCCTAGGGCTGGGCGTGCGGAGGTGAGAGGCTGGTGCAGGTAAGCTGATTTTAACTGCACTTTATTCAAAACAGGCTATCGGAGCCTGAAGACGTCCAAAACGTCAGGCTATGCAGTGACCCCCATACTTGGGGTCTGTGAACCCCTGGAAGGACCCTCGGGGCTCCTACGGCACAGGGTGGGTGGGGAATGAGTCCCGGGGGCCCTCGGGGGGTCCCACAGCATGGGGGGTGGTGAGGAGTGAGTCCCAGGGACCCTCGGGGGCTCCCACGGCACGGGGTGGGTGGGGAGTGAGTCCTGAGGACCCTGGGGGGCTCCCACATTGCAAGGAGGGTGGGGAGTGAGTCCAGAGTCGGGACAGCAGCTGTCCAGTAAGCTCTCACCCAACATCAGCGCCTCGGGTGGCCGCCGGGAGGCTCTTATTCTTGCGAACCTCGCTTTTTCCCAGAGGAAGCCAGCGCCAGGCGTGGAGCAAGAGCTTAACAGCATTATGTTGCTCTCACTGCGCTTACTTGCAAGCACAGGGTGAGGCAGTGTCACAAGTTCCCCTTTTAAACGCATGTGCTCCGTAAAACAAAAGCCTCGCTGGGCCCAGGTGGCAGG